TATATACTAAAAATTGTCATATTTACGAACCAATATATTTATGAGATTGTTCATACAAAAATTTAAATATTTAAAATTTATATATTTAAGGAACTTAACACATATAACTTACACACATTAAATATAGTACATAATAGGTAACAAAATTACATGCCTTTCAACCTTAATACACGTTTTAGACCATATATACAAAACACATATAATGTTTACATATAAAATACATACCAAATATGAAAACATTAATGTAAAACCGTGCATTCATACCCATATTTACCAATGACAACACAAGTAATATTTTGCATATTATAATCAAACAAATATATGGAAAGTAAATTAGTTTACCCATTATAATTAAAATAATTAGGAAGTCAAAGCAAAAGTAGAAAATAAAATTGTAAACATGCAAAAATATAGGGACTAATTCAAAGCATATTCCTAAAAAATAAATATCTGGCATTAAAAAAAGAAAAATTACATAAGCAGTACCTTTAGGGACTAAAATACAAAACAAGCATAAACTTAGGAGGAATAAATAGTGATATTACCAGAATACATTAAGATAAACGTAAAAATGGCTAAATTTCTAAAACAGTACCTATAGGTGACTGTTTTGTAAAAACGCTTAAAGATATAGGGATTTATGTTGTAGTTTTACCCTTAAGTTTATCTATATATAGCACCTATTTTTTCTCTCATTTGTAACCAATTTCAGAAGAAAAAAAAAGGTGAGAGAAATCTCCTTTCTCCCTCGCCATTAGCCGGCCGGTCTACTGCCGGTCGCCCGGAACGAACGTAGGCCACCGTCCGGCTGCCATACCGGTCGCCACACACGGTTGCTGGAACCCCTAAATTTTCCCAAACTCTCATGAAACGTCCCTCTCACCCCGATCTAACTCCCTATATACCTGACTTAGGCTAAAACACCCTAAAAACCCACAAAACAAACTCCAAACCGAGCTCCGACCCTTCGGTTTTTCACTCCTCAGGCCACCGTGAATTCCTCCCCGAATATGGTAAGTTTCTTTCTCTCTTAGACTCTCGATCTACTTTCCTTTTTATACATGCAAAGTGTTGTTTTAGTTTTTTTTTTCATTATTATTTTGCTTCGAAAATAAATAAATAATAAATAGAAATAAATAAATAAAATACCTCTTGAAAGTAGGATGTTATTGCTTTTGTTTCTGTTCTGGAAAATCTGAAAGGGTTCCCCCTTATTACAAGTTACATTCGGGTTTATATAGAACCAGATTTACATTATTTGTTATTTGTTTTTCTGCCTTTTGAAAATCCCGTGAGTGCACTGAAATCCAAATGCTTGTGTATGCCTCGGTATTGTTTGCTGATGGTCTCTGAAAATTTGCAGGGTCTTCAGTTGCAGTAGCTGCAGTGGCCTGGGAGTGGACCAAACGGCGGTGATAGCCTACTGGTGGAGAGTGCGGCAGCTGAAGGGTTCTGGAAACCCTAGTGGGTTTGGGCCTCTACAAATTAGGGTTGACATCGGGCCTTAAATTGTTGGGCTTCAATACTGGGCCAGCTTACTTCCTGGTTGGGCTTACTCTGTGGACTCGAGTCAGTTTGGTGGCCCGATTGGGCTTATTTGTAACCTGGATCTGTTAATAAAATAATAATATTAATTAATAATAAATATAATAATAATAACGTTAATATTGAATGTGACGAAAAAAAACGAGTGTCGACAAGTTCTTTCTTCTGTGATTAACTGTTGGCATCAGTCCTATATTTTGTCTCTATGGACCGAGTAGAAATGGGGCTCAGCGGGAAGAAGATTGTACCATGAGAGAATAAGGAGGTCAACCTTTTTCAAATATACAATATGATTATGACAATTCAATGGAGTTGAGCTTTCATACGAATCCGAATGAATCATCTTTTCCATGGAGATAAAACTTTGCCCTCTAGATAAGAGGATAACAAGTTACAAATTCTGTTTGGTTCTAAGATTTTATTTCATCTATTTTTTTCATATATATATATATATATATATATTCTAATTTCAATTTTATTTCTCATAACATTTTATAATAAAAATGAAACAGAAAATTTCAAATATTACCTTAATTAGTGTCATTAAATGATAATATGTGGGGTTGCATCAAATGATAAGATTCCATAATAAGAATCATTGATTTTTGCAATTAATTTCATTTTTACCTACGTTTAATTTTTCATATTCCTATTTCTCAAGATACACAACATTAAAAAATAATATAAAGACGATATATATATATATATATATATATATATATATATATATATATATATATATATTAATAATTTAATAATTTTAACATTCTATATTTATAAAAGTGTTTTAAATATAATTGTGACATAATAATTTATAAAAATTAGAAACAAATACATGAATTATGAATAAAGATAAAGATGTATAATTGGATTTCGTATTGTTTTGTTCTTTACTTCATGTGTTACTCACAGATCTCAACAACCTGAGTATGACCAATGGCCACCTTTACAGATAATAGCTACGATTAGGATGTACATAGATTGGGTCGAATTTTTAGTTAACTCAACTTAATCCGGTAAAAGTATATTTTTAATCTAAAATATAATATGATTTAGGTTTAAGATGATTTTACTTAGTCTAAAAGTTGACTCGCGTTTAGAGATAAAACTTGCATTTGATCTAACTCGACCTGATATAAACATATATATAATTTTTAATTTTATTCGATAAAATAAAAATTTAATGTAAAAAAATAGAGAGAGAGGAGTATTTTTGTGTGTATGTAAGATACAATTACATTATTTTTTCGGATTAAATATTTTTCATTCTAAAAAAAGCTAGATCCGACCTAGAGTTATACTCTAAAAAACCGACTCAACCCGACTTAAACTCAAATTTAAAAAAATTGAATTATACCCCTCAAGTTTTAAATAAATTTTAACTAGATACCCCAAAATTTGATAGAAGTTCTCATGATATCTTAATTTTTTTAAATATTTTTAATTAACCTTCTTGAAATTGTCAACAATCATTAAATCTCCCATAATTTTTAAAAGATATAATTAGACCCTCGATCTTTTAAATAGTTCTCATTAAATCCCTCAAAAAATTTAAAACATCCGATTAGACCTAAGAAAATAAAATCTTTTGATTAGCCTTTCAAACTATCACTCAATTCCGATAAGGTAATTGGGAGGGGAAAGATAAAAAAAATAAAAGATTATGTGAGACAAATGTTAAAGTTTTTTCTTATTTTATTTTATTTTTCATTTTAACCCTCACAATAACATGATTACATTGACAAAGCTGCTAAAACCTATCAACTATCCTCATTGCTGCATTGGAAAGTTCTTCATAAACCCTCATATCATAGAGCATGGCAGCGTACGTAAGCTTACAATACTCCAAAATTCTCCTGCATCGCACATCTTGTTGGAGCGCCTTGTTTACGAGACTGTTCGTTCCGTCGTAATCTTTGTTCTTAAACCGATCCGTCACCTTGATTAGATGGATTTGCGCTTCGGAAAACACGTTCGCGCAGTTTAGTACGTAGCATCTGTTTCACGTCCTTTACGAACTCGTACTTAGCTAAGTCCGTTATGTTGGCCGATTGGACCCCGACACTTTTGTTTAGACAAGATATGACGATGGCGGCAATACCTACTTTATCGACTGACTCGCTCCGGGGGTCGGATTTCACGCATCGGATGCAGGTCGTGGGTACATCCGTGATGTGGCATTTGGATTAGGGTTTCGTCGGCGGAAACTAGGTTTCGATGTCCGACATGGCCGAAGGAGATCGAAAGAAGATTTTAGTATCTATGTATATTAAGAGGGAATCCGTCCACTTATGAATTTTATATATTTTTATAAGTTTTTTATGAGTAATATATTAAGATTTTTCCCTTGAAATAGTAAATTAATAAATAATTAACTAATAATGCATACCTTAATTAATGTCATAAGATGCTGATTTTATTTTTCAGGTATACCTATATGTGGGGTTGCATTAATCCAAATAGTGATTGGTCTAAAATTACAGTTACACTCTCAAATTCAGATTTGACCCATAAGAAGTATTAATGGTAGCAACTAATTTCATTAAACTCTTTTTTAGGGCTTAAATTCATTTTAACTTGATAGATTTTTCTATTTTTGTTGTTATGATATTGAAAAATAACATAAATACGATATGAATTAAGGTTAAGAAATGGAATTGAGAAAATCAAAGTTGATTTGAATCGAACTATTCTATTTAATTTAATTTTGATTTTTTATTTTACGGTTCGATTTTTTGTTTGGTTTAAAAATGCTTTTTGTAAACACGATTAAAATTGTATTTAATTGTTATGATATACATTTAAAAGTACGAGTGAAAGAAATTTTATTAGAAATTTGATAAATAAATAAACATGATTTTAATTGTTTATTGTTTTAGAGATATATAAAAGTATAAAAATTCTAAAAAAATGTTATAATCATATTTATTATTATTTAAAATAAAAATACTTTTATATTTTTTTAACTAAATGAGACTTGATTAATCAGTGATACAAATTCAATAAAACTCTTAATATAGAATACATATAGATATAAATATAAAAACAGTGAATAATTTATAATCAAACTTAAATTTAATTTATCTAATTTAAAGTTAAATGAATTTATTTAAGCAATGTTAGTGGTTCGAATCCTGATGATTGTGAATGGAGTAAATTGAATTGGGAGGATCATCCTTATAATAGGTCTTTGCAAAACTTAGTCTGAATTAATTAATCAATAGATTATATAAATTTATTAATTCGAAAAAAGTTAAATGATTTTAAAAAATAATAATCCAATTCAATCAAGCGACAAAATTAAACCTTATTTTAATAATTTAAAATATTTTGTTAGTTTGGAGGGAAAACCCTCCAAAATTTTAAAAAATTTCAGACAAATGCCCCGCAAATTAAGTCCAAAACCCACCAACCAGCAAAATAATTATTTTATTTATTACTATTATTGTTTTCTTTCCCATTTGTAATCTTTTCCTTTTCCCAACAAACGATAGCGACGGAAGGAGAGATACCATCTACGATGACTCAAGGCGGCGGCGGCGGCATGGAGTTTAATCTGCCGGAAGAGATTCTGGCGGTGATACCGACGGATCCTTACGAGCAGTTGGATCTGGCGCGTAAGATAACGTCTATGGCAATCGCATCTAGAGTGTCTAATATGGAATCGGAGATTGGGAGGATGAGGGCAAAGGTTTACGAGAAAGACCGTATTATTTGCGAATTGGAAGAGAAAGTATCAAGGTTGCAGCAAGCGAATCACGATGCCGATTCTCGATTAAAGATGGTTATTGACGAAAATGTCTGCTTCTTCTCTTGTGTTTTATTTTCATGAATTTATTCTGGCAGTTTTGGTTGTTTTTGACGGAAATTGAAATGCGTTTTTATAAAATCGACTAGCTTACTATTTTTTGTGCTTTTTTTTCTTCTTCCTTTATTACTAATTCTACTGTTATCTCTTCGGAACAAACAACACTGCTTAGTAGAAATTCTGCTCGAGGAATTTTTACTATTTTGTTTCTGAATTTCTATGGTTGCTGACTACTTTTGTGGACATTTATATAAAATTTTAGGGTTTTAGTGTTCATGATTTTGATATATGTATTTAATTACAGATGAAGCTTTCAAATGAGCGTGATTCATTGGCAATGACTACAAAGAAACTTAGCCGTGACTTAACTAAGGTGAGACTGAAATTCTAAATGTTTTTTTAAACTCAATTCACCTATTCAAGTAAGTATAGTTTTATTTATTTTATAGAGATGAGTTACATGGTACAATACTACTTATTGTGAAAATTTGGTGTGTGGATGACTTTATCAAGGTTCATAGTGTTTAATAGCATTAACAACTTTGAGCTTCACAAATGGAGTTATGGTCAACGAAGTACCTCTGAATGAGAAACCACTGTTAACTTTGTTTGGTTTTCTTAATTGCTTCTAACAATATAGTTTGCTGATAAAGCAGCTAAAGTTAGTGTTTTAATAGCATTGACCTCTGCTTTTGAGATTTTCTGGTACATAATCATTTACATTCATATGTATTCTAATTTGAAATATGAAGAATAAATAATGGAATGTTCTAATATTTGACAGTTGGAGACTTTCAAGCGGCAACTGATGCAATCCCTGAATGATGATAATTCCTCTGTAAGATTTATGTATTTACTCGTTCTTTTTGTTGCTTTTTGTGATTCAAGTCCATTTCTGTTGTTTGAAATGGAAATTTAGCTATGCTTTATCTGCACTTATATTTTCACTGTTCAGTTTCTGTTGTTCAGATACTTGAAGAACCTGATTTCTTTTAACCTATTATTCCATTCTTTTTTACCAGCAGGCTGAAACAGTTGATATTGGGACCTGTGACCAGTCAGTCCCTAAAGCCTATCCGGATAACAACGGTACATAAAGATTCACTTATTGTTCTTTTTTCTTCTGTATTTTCCTCCTCATTCATTTGTAATTTCTCACTTCCGAAAGTCAACAGTAGCCTATTCCACATTCCCCTTTATTTTCTCTTGCCACAGATGATGGGGTGAAGAGCTACATGTCACTTCGTTCCTCCAATGGTTCGATGGACTTGGGAAGCAGCACAACTGATGAAGGTAAATGGATAAATTTCTTTCTCATTTTTATGTTCTGTTTCGAGTACTTTTATGCTTATGTCTTGTTGGAGCTTAAAGGATCAGCATTTCATGATGGAAATGTACTAACATCCTTTTATAAAATTGGAGGTAAAATAAAACAAATATATTGGCACATGTTTTAATGAATATTTTTTTGACTTGTTAACTTTCAAAAAGAAAATGAAAACTCTTGGATTAAAAGCTTTTGGTCTACTTTAAAATTTCTAACATTGACAGCTAAAATGAAAATGTCTCTTAATACTTTCGTAAGTTTATACAGATATAGATGTTATAAAGGAAAATAACAATATGCATAGATGTTATTAAAGGAGGATAGAAATATCAATTTTCTTCTCAATTTGTACTCTTTTTCTTCCTGAAATGGTAAAGAATGGAATTAGTATTTTGGAAAATCCTCCAAAACATAAGAAAGCTCGCCTTGATATGGATTTTAAGTTGATTCTTTCCCAACAGCTTCAAGATATGCTGGACAAAGATTTTCAATAACTCCATATATCACACCACGGCTTACTCCTACCGGAACTCCTAAAATTATATCCACAAATGGGTCCCCTAGGGGCTATTCTGCTGCCGGATCTCCCCAGAGAACCTCTAGTGCAACCTCTCCTACAAAGTCTCAATCTGATGGGCGGACTTCATTCTCCTCGTGGTACCCTTCAAGCCAGCAGTCATCTGCAGCTAGCTCTCCTCCTCGTGGGCGTTCACTGCCAGGTTTTACTATTGTTATTCTGATAGATCAGCACATTTTGTTTTTCTTCATCACCCTCTTTTCATCTGACCCAGTTTTTCTTTCATTTTAAAATATACTTAGGAAGGACTCCTCGAATTGATGGAAAGGAATTCTTTCGTCAAGCCAGGTAAATTCTTTTGTTTTCTTTCTCTGTTCATTTGTTATACTTACGGTAGACTGCAAATATATATTGAATTATGATCTTGAAAGAGTTATTGACTCTCCACAAACTGATCTGAAGTATTGGAATTACAGGAGCCGCCTTTCCTACGAACAGTTCAGTGCCTTTTTGGCTAACATCAAAGAGCTGAATGCTCAAAAGCAAACCCGAGCGGTAAAGAGTTTTGTTTATCAGAGAGCCTAGACCAGCTTACCATATACCATTTTTGTGCTTACTGAGCTTTTTCTTGCTTTTTCAGGAAACTTTGAGGAAAGCGGAAGAGATTTTTGGGACGGATAACAAAGATCTGTTTCTGTTATTTCAAGGATTGCTAAATCGCAACATTCACTAGATCCCAAGTTATCTCTTGGGATAATTTATCATCACTGGTATAATCTTGTTCTAGGCATATTCACAACGTTGGCTATTTGTTATCCTAGTGTTCAATATAAGGTTCAGTGCAATACTCTTCTTGAGGTGCACCCTTATAGCCTCGTTGTAACCTCAATATATATATAGGACCTGGTATCAGTTAATAAATCATGTGGACCCGTTGTCTTCGATTTCTCTTTTCTAACGACGCTAATGTCGGACACATTTCGGATTCCAACACTCTTCTAGTTTGGGTAAACATAGCATGTTTCTTCTCTCTAGTAAAGCTTCAACCCAAATCCTCAAGGCCATATTCCTTTTGCTGTCTTGCGAATGAGGCATTGGTACTGAGGACCATAGATAATATGGTATGATAAGATGCTTTCGATATCATCTGTATTCGAAACATGATGACATGTATCGGATATGGATACTTTAAGATGAACTAGTGATTTAGATGTTTTTTTATTTCAGTGTAGGGAACTGAAGTTCATAAAACACCATTTGGCAGGTTGCTTGGTTTTAATTGGATTTGTCCAACATTGGAGAAGTTGCCGTTATGTAAAATAAGATGAACCAATCGGCAACGGGCTTCGATTTTAATCGAATTAATGTGTTTTTGGCTGACTTTAGCCTCCACATTCATGATGAGATTTGTGTAAATAGTTGCGCTGCTTTTACTTACTCTTGATGTCCATCTTTTGTTTGAATTGTCGTCGCAAGATTTTGATATCAACTTGTGCAATGGTTAGTGGTTTACATTTTCGTAATATTTGATTAATTCAATCGTCGGATTTATATGGTTAATATTTGCTTAATTCAAACAATGAAAAATTTTGAACATTTATAGAGATTATACATATCGAATTTGTTCGAGATGTACAGAAAGGACTCGAAGAAACGAAGTGTATATAATTTTGAAAGTATACTGATTGATTATAACCATAATTATTGAAATGTTATTTATAATTATTCTTTTTCAAAAGTATAAATTATAGTATCTAAATTATTTATAATTTTCAGTTTTTTAATAATTTTTTTACCGGAGGATAATGTATTTGTAGCATTTTAATATTTTTTATTAAAATTTTGTATTCCAATTTAGTTATTTTTAATTTTAATGTATTTTTAATTTTAAAATCCGATTTTAGAATCTTAAACAACTATTATATTCTAGTTATCATGTTGACATTTGGCTTAGATGATCATTAATTTTTTAATGAAAAATAACGAGTTTGGAACATATGAATGGTTAGATGATTATTTTATAATTTTTAATAATTGAAAGACTTAACAAAATAATACCTTATAGTTAGATGATTATTTTATAATTTTTAATAGTTTGACAATATTCTATAAGATATCATTTGTGTATTTTAACCTCGAAAATTAGTAAATGAATTAAATTTATAATTAATATATAATCAATCTCTTAAAAGCTAACAAAGGAAGGCCAATGATGAACATCTTCAATTGACGAACAAAAGAATCTGTAATTTGCTGCTGTTTTCCGGAGAAAATTCAATCTTCCCTAACCCTCTTTTGTTGCGGGACGGTTACAGTTTTAGCTATTTAAGCTTTCAATTAACTACCTCGCTTCGATCAATCAAAGGCAAGAACTTTATTTTCCCCTAAACTGGGAAGTGTAATTTTCGTGGCTTGATCTTGGATGCATATTTATTTCTTTTAATTTTTGTTTGGTTTTATGAATTGGGTTTTATTTTTGTTTTTCTTTTAATTGTAAATGTTTTAATTCCAATGCAAGTTCATTTTTTTGCCGTTCTTTCATTGTAAATGTAACGTAGGATTGCATGTGATAGAAGGGTTATTTTATTATTATTATTATTATTATTATTATTATTTTAAAATCCAGAATCGGTTAGAATTTTAGATGTATGAGAAGTGAAATTTTTGCACTGGTCTAAAATTAATTATGAAATTTTCCCTGCAAATTGGTATAAAAATTAACTTGGATTATTGTAGCTGCAATGGCTGAAATCTATGTCAATATAGTTTCCATTGATTATTCACTATGAAATTTCGAAATGAGTAAAAGCATTTTCATGCTCTATATTCATCTTTTAGATACCTTGACTGTTTTTGTTTCTTCAGCCTACTTGTAGGAAGCAAATGGATTCAGTAACCTAGTTTCAACCAGCGTTGGAACTTGTTATATGTGGTTTATTGAATCTTTGTGCGTGTTCACTTCGGAAAATGTTTCTACAGCCAATTTTCATCCTTTTTAGGACTTTGAATCCACAATGTTTAGTTTCCGACGTAATGGGGTATGCAGTCTAAGAAATGCTTGTAGTTGATTTTTGTTGCCATTGCTGAACTGTCTGGAATAACTTTTGGTGCTTCTAATTGTTTGCGGAGCTGTATCTTTCTCCCCAGTCTTAAAATGTTTGGTTTTATGGTGGTTAAAATTGTCTTATTCACGTTCTATTTCCTGTTTGACGGATGATGGTTAATGTCTTAAGGCCTTTGACTTATGCTGCTTTCGATTTTTATTGTCGATAGGTCATTACTATTTTTTGAAACTAGCGTAACTGGTGAGCTGAAAGATTTTAATGGAAGGCAATGACCTGCCATCTCTGGGTCGTGTGAAGCTTACTGATCTTGTACCTTCTGAAGGCCTTCCTTCAAACTCTTACAAGCTATCAGTGTCAACTTTATCACAGTCTCTTGCTCAATATTCGGCTGCCATCATTCAGTTTCCAGCAAGTGATGGAGCTCTTTTGAGATCCGGTTTAGATTCTGCCCACCTTTACTTCCAACAAAAGGCAGCATACCCATCCTCGGAGTTGATTCATACAAATGATTCTCGTGAGTGGTGTAAAACATCTGGTTACTATGCCGATCCCCAACTATGGCTAGAAACATACGATTACCGGCCTGGCCTAACTCCTGCAGAGCCCAGCAATGGAATGGAGTTTCCCCCAGGTGGTTTGCCTGACATATTTTGCTTGCTTGGTAAGGCAGCTCGAGATTTACTGGATGCAATCAGCTATTACTTGAACTTGCGTAGCTCTCCTTTTACAGAAATACTCGATAATGTACCCTTAAGAAGCCATGAAATATCTTCTTCAGTATTATCTGTGTGCTGTCATGGAAGGCCTTCTTTTCCGGGGGCACAACACAATTTAACAACACAGGATGATAGTCAATTGATCATGTTTCCCGACCATGAGCACCAGGTTGATAAAAGCTTAATATCCATTGTTAAGCCTGATAAGGCAGGTTTTCATGTACGAGATTTTCACGGTCAGTGGATTCTCGTAGATGGGGACCTCGGTCTCCAAGAAGCTATTGTGTATCCTGGACTTGCACTTTACCAAGCAACTGCAGGTTACGTAAATCCTGGAATCCATCGGACTGAGATTAATAATATGCCGGGTAACATATACGGAAGATGCTCATTGGTTTTCAAACTCATGCCAAAATCTATGACAAGTCTCAGTTGTTCAGAGATGAGAGCCGCTGGTCATGGGGTTGAAGCGCAGTTCCAGCTTCCTATACCTGTGGATGACTTCATGCAGAGATCTCATCCGACAGATAAGCTCTTTAATCGAAACGCTTTCCAGAGTTTCAGTTTCCCCACAGCCCAAGACGGTAAGCAGTATTTCCTAATACGTTCAGCATTTTTTTCATAGTTATATGCAGTCAATTCTCACCGAAATTTTAGTTCACTCCCCGTGAAGTATTAAGGTATATTTTGCATGGGCTTGGGTGTGTCAGCGTCAGATACAATGTTGTGTCCTATATGCATTTGTTCAGTTTTTTCTAAGTTTACCTGTGCATGTGGAGGGTTCTTGGAGGGTCAATTCTCCATACCCATATCTGAATATGCATTGGACACGTACTGCCGGAAAAATGAATAGTCCACAGCATAGATTAATGTGTTGCCAACCAAAATGATTCTGCTCGTTTTCTCTCCTGATCAGATTTTAATGATCAAGTGTCCTTGTGATCCTTTTACCCTCCCCAACTAGGCTAGCCGATTATTATATCGATAGTTTATCGCTATAGATATCCTTAAGCGTGGATTGAAATGCTTAAACTTCTTATTTTTTAAATTTGTCTACTAGGTAATAGGTATATTCTAGACTGTTGAATTCATATTTTTACTTAAAAGTCAAAAGATGAGTGATGGGGTTTTTAACGGTTTCACCCAAATGATATCTTTGTCTATTTGGTTTGTGAAGCTATCTTGATGTTTTCTTATCCGTGTTATTCTTTTGTCGAAATAGCCTTAGTGAGAAGCTTTTAACAACAGGTCCTTGGATCAATGAAATGCTGGTACAGGATCTATGAAGCCTTTGATGCGAAGACGGAAGAACAATACAAGATGCAAACCTCTGCCTCCTTCCAAGAGATTACGGCTCGAGGCACAAAGAGTGCTTAAGGACAGGGTTCAGGAGATTGCGGATAAGAAGGGAATCAAACTACGGTTTTGTAGCCTAAAAGAGTGTGAGAATCACATTCATGGACTTGATAGCCCTTGTGCCAATATCAGAATGGAAATCGGATGGCCTCATGGGGTGCCATTTGTTCATCCCCACGATCTACCAAATAAGGCAAAGATTGGTTTTCTCGAAACTTATGAACCTGGTTGGACAGCAACTCATGATATGGAATTAAGCCTAACGGAATCGGGACAGGCCAGTCAACAGTTGGCAAACTGTAATTGTATGTCTCGGTTATGTTTCATTACTCTTACACAAGCATTCATCAAAGTGCACTCAACATTAACACCATGAGAAGTTTGCTGCATTTATCCCTCGTTTTTATTGAACTTACTGATTAGTGTAAATTGGTTTTGCATTGACATCATTGCATTATCACGACATTATACTTATGAGCATTGGATGTTCATCGAAGTAGTTGGCATTGTTCAGTGCTATTATTCTGGGATTTCCACCCCCACTCCCCCTAATTCATTGTCCATTGATTCAATGTGCTTCAATCATAATTTGTCATTATAAAATGCACTTTTCGTTCATGACATTGGTGCCTCAACATTTCTTTGAGTTGAGATTCTCTTTAATGTCATACCCCTATTGACACAGAGATTACCAATCAGATGTTTGGTTCTTCGAATGTTGTCTCACAGTATAACCCCTATTCTACCTATGTTGCTTGGAATTGGATTTGAGTGCCGGATACATATATGTATTGGTCGTATTTTTCTATGTTTTTCATGTATATGGAGAATCTTTGAAAGTCATATTCTTGAGAACAAAGTCGTATTAATTTCTCTCCCCTTTCACTGTGTCCTTATGACTTCTGATATGTTTTCGTGCCTGCAGGAATCTCTGTTGTAATTTCGTATGTCATTATCCTCAATTATGTTGATCCTGATCGGTTTGCAAGATCTTGACTTTGTGGTTTGTAGCTTTTTGCCAAATCCCAGCCCCTTGGAAACCGAATGAGTACGCCGTCTGTAAATAGTTTACTCCCCGCCTCCCTTAATATTATATGTAGTTTTCTCCATGTTTGAATTTTTCGGAGAAGAAACGGAGAAATAGCAGAATCATTTGATTTTGATAACTTTAGTGTTCTTATTTATGACTTAGTCTCGATTTGGGGTTTGAGTTCTAATAGTTCTGTTCCCTTTCTCTCATACTGGACTTGGGATGCAAGTGACATATTTATGCTAGTTACTCAATTTCGTTCGAAAAAAAAGCATTTCCTTCATTGCTGAATCGAGCTTAAGCAACTTGACTAATCTTAATGCTCAGGTGACTTGCAAGAGTAAATGTTTATCTCAAATGAAGAGTCGAAATAAAATAATCAAATACACATGTAAATCAGTTGATGAATATTCATCAAACACTGTATTTACAGCCGTAACCTCTTAAATATAACATGTTGGCGACCCAATTTCCATTCTTATATGCCATAATTTTTTGCTTTTCCATTCCAAAAGTTTGGGGTCAGCTTCTCAATCCATATTTGATGAGATTGATTATGTTCAAATTAAATTGTCTCCAACACCAGGCACAAATAGAGAAGCATAATGTCTCAGATTCATTCCAAATTACCCACACAACAGTTCTGATGGGCTAGGGTGTTCCAAGTATAACTGCAAACCCAGAGGTTCACTGTTCATCGATTTGATCGGTGTTATTAACGGAGGTTGTTGCCACTGTTTGGTGTCAGTTGGGATCCAAATCTCCGCATCCTTGCTTGCACTAGCCTGAGGGAGTGAGCGGAAGTAAGCCGTGATCTCCCACCTGCAATCTGTAAAATAGCAACACAGATAGCCCCTACCGGATAACAGGAAACTATAAATTATCGCATAAACCAAATAAGCAAGTTAAACTTCAATATGCTATGCTTCGTTAAACTTCGATATGCTATGCTTAGTTAAACTTACCGCGGGGAAGAACTGTTGTGAGGGGTTGGGAAATCGAAAGTTTGATCAAGAATGATCGAAGAGAGAATTTTAGATCGCTTTCTTCCACATGTGAGCCGAAAGATTGATTAACTGTTAGTTTGAAAACAAACCTCTCGATGGGAATGTTGTCCGTGTTGTAAAAAATAACAGCAACTCTCTCCACCAAACCCTAGATTACAAAGATGAGCATTTCAAGTTTCCCGTATTAATGTAAAAACAATATTCATCAGAAAGCATTTCCAGGACTGCACAGAGAATTCAATATGATCGATGACAGCAACAAATAAACTACCTCTGATGATGTAAACCAGAAATTGGAGAAAATTATATCCATATCAATAAATTCTATCTAAATAATAAAGATTCATGCTAGTCATTAATTCTATAGCTATAAACTTATGTTAACTGGAATTAGGTGCGCGTGTCAGATACATATAAACATTTGACATGGATACTTCAAGAAAAATGAAGCTTTGAAGGAACATGGCTATAAAGAAATTTCATAGAGAAACTTCACCATACTAATTCAAAAATGATATGATAAAATGGAGTTTTCCTTCCTACAAAACATATTTGCAGATTTTCAACAGCAAAATTACATGTTCATGCATCTTTAGCATTTAGTTGAACGAGTTGCGGTTTTATTCATAATAGGTGATGCTGTCTTTTGAATCAATGATTTATTAATCTACTCTCACATCTCTTTATTAATGTTTGTTTGGAACAGATAACTGCAATATTTCGGGTTTGTTTTGGCCCTCAGAAAGATAATAAGACCTAATCAATCATCCCTGTTAAAGTAGTAGATCTCTCTTCATTTAATCAACATGAGGGACACTGCAAAGAACATCATCATTGCAACACTAGAATGTAATATACAGCATAGAACACACAGCGCGTTGCACTCGAGGAAACTCTAAATAGATCATATCAATGCAAAAACATTGCAAACATCCCTAGGCATTAACAAACACTACTCAAACATCTAATGAATGAAACCAACCTTTTGGACAAAAGGAAGAAGTCCTGAAACAGCGGAATGGATGTATTCTCTTAGCTGAGGATGTCGTGCCCTCTGTACGACAACATTCATATACTTCCTCCTCTCGAAAGCACCTTAAAAAGTGCATCCAACACGAGTTACAGACATGAAATTAATGTAAAAATAAACCTAGACACCAAATATGTGTATTTTCAATAAGGTAACACCATCATAGCTAGTTTTAAATTTAACCATTATAATGCTATACAGTTTCTCCAAGTGTAAATTTCAAAACCTACAATACAAGTAATGGATAAAGTACATAAAATTAACTTAATAATAACAACAAAGTATTACATCGAAAGATCCTCCAAATTCATAGAAAAAATTGCATTAAAAACATCCATGTTTATGGAGCTATTCGACACTCACACTCAAATCGGAGTAACATAAGTATTAAATGAAGTAAATGATAACTTTATTCTATTATTCACCAATGGATTTGATAAAGATAAAAAAAACTCAAAAGAGCAACTTTGAGCATGGAGAGCAAAATTCATAATAACATAAAGATCAAAATCTTGATAAATGCTAACAGTCCCAATTGCACCAACTTTCGTTCTTTTACTAATTATCTAATAACCCATTCACTGTAATTTTCAACTACAGAATTCCCAATTTTTTAAATATAATCTTCACACAAGTTTATCAGTGGAATTTGGTGAAGAGTGAAATTCATATGAAAACCTATAAATTCTACAAAGAAATAAAAGAAACGAATTACAATATACCGGGAGGATAAATTCCTTTGAGGGAAACAACTGAAGTGATAGCTACCTCTAAGAATTCAACCAAAATCCCAGCAATTTCACCTATAATTAAATAAAAATAAAACAAATTTGCTTAATAGTAGTAAATAAAACTTTTAAAAAATCAAACCAAAGCGAGAAATTGAGTACCTTGAGGAGATTGATTATCTTTGCGCTCCATTTTCCCCCCAGAAAATGGAATCATCGGCTTGCTCTTGGGCATTTTAAATTCTGTGACGGGGTTTTTGAGAGAAAGGGAAAATTACGTAAGCCACCTTGAACTTATGATATAGTAAGTTTTAAGGATGAAAAATTAAATTGTGATCAGTTAAGTCCCTCCGTCAATGATACTATTAGTTTGGTAGTAGTATTTACTCTTCCTATAATTGCAATAAGAATTTAGCAAAAAGGGTATACAAGCCCTCAAAATTTTATAAAAGATAATCAAGTTTTTACTTGATAAATGTGCCCGATTGAACTCTTGGGCATTAAAATTGCTCAATTTCTTATTCATGGTCAGATATTTTAATTATGAATAAATATATGATTGAGTCGAATAAAAATATTTGAATTGAATAAGCTAACAAATTCTATTTTATAATTGAAATTTTATTTAAACCTTTTTAATCGAATCAAACTTATAGTAATTGATATTGTTTTTTAATTGAGAAAAATGTATGATATTATCTAATGGCTTTTGGTATGAATTTTATTTATTGTAAATAATAATGTATTTATTGTAAATAAAATGTTATTTATTGTCAACGTGTTGCATTCAATATAAAGCTCAAATTAATAAAAATAAGTCATCTATTATTCGATACGTAGATCTATTATAGATGTTCTTTCTTACTTAGTTCGATACATTCACAATATTAAAATTAAAATTTTTATTTTATTTAAGAGGTTTAATGTCGCATTTTACTATACCAACTTACCTAAGTAGTTAAATGAATCATTTTTCTCATTTCATCTTCATATCTTCATATGGCAGGTTTGGAAGCGTCGGAACAGCCTCATCTTCACCGATGTTGTCCTTCACAACGATCAATTGTTTCGCCTTAGCAAAAATTGTTTCTGAGCTCATCTTCACCGATTTTATCTCTGCTGCAGCTCCCCCATTGAATTCCATGGTGTTTTCTTGCCCTGAAACGGTTCGACGGAGGCCTGCTCCTGCTGACTGGTGTACACTCAGTACTGATGATGCAGTTCATAGCTCTTCCTCCCGTGGGTCTGTAGGTGGTTTGATTCTCAATAATGCTGGTGTTTGGATCGTTGGGTTCAATAAATCTGTTGGAATCTTTGAAGGCCTTCATTTGGCGTGGTCCAATGGAATTGAACGGCTTCAATGTCAAACTGATATCCTCTCCATCATCTGATTCTAGTCCAATTGCTCTTGTTCGCTCTATCACTCTTCTAATATCGAAGCCATTCATGCTGGATTTCCTTCTCATCCGTCGTGAAGCAAACGCTGCTACCGATTCCCTTGCCAAATCTTCTATGAATAATGACGGACTCCTTCGTATTTATTCGAGCGCTCCCCAGGATCTTATTGTTATCTCTCTCGAGACCTCCATGGTCCAGCTTTTATGCGCACTTAATATTCTCTTGTAATGAACTTTATCCTCTTTCACATTCAAAAAAAAAAAAGTTGTCATTCATGGGTTCGAGCACCAGCGGCTGCAAGGTAATTGAATTATCATTATCAAATGATTAAAAGTACTTAGAACAGATACTACTTTATAACCACCTTTAGCTTAATAAAAAAAATACATTCTTTTCTATTCAAAATTTCCTTTAAACTCGTACTCTTTATATATTATAGATAATTAATGCTGTCCATATAACTTTACATTTAACATACATACAGAACTAGGATCTCAGAGCATCTGTTAATCTATTGGTAATATAAAAAATGGAGTTTTGATTTTTCAAATAGTGATTAAGAATCTGTAATTCTTGCGAAATCAACCAATTTCTTTCCGCCGTGAGGTTTTCCTAGAAAAAAAAAATTCATGTAATCAACGAACAAAAGCTCTCTATAACGAGCAATTCCATCTTTTTCCACCAATTGAGGTAATGGTGCAATCTTTTGGGTCGGGTCATTGGTAGTACGGACTTTATGTTCTGCACTTTTATACCTTCCATTGCTTATACTAATACCTACAAATAAAATACAATATTAGGGAAAGGCTATTACGTTTAGAGTTTGTGTTTGTTAGGATATGAAGCTTAATTTCAATCAATTCATATAATTACCCTTGAGAGGTGATCTTCAGTTAGTTCGAGATATAAAATTTATTATCTTTTTCGAAACTTCATTTATACTAAAGGGATCTGAAACTAAGCCTAGGTTTCAACTCAATTAGCTCATGCAATTACGTACTCTAAAGAGATGATACCTGTAACATATCGCCAACATTGATGACCATGGCACCAGGGGCAGGAAGGGTCTCTACCCATTCTCCTTTCTTTCCAGAACTCGTTTCTTCTTCGATTCTTACATACAAACCACCAATTTCATCTTGTAATGAAACTGTAAGAGTTCCCACAGCAGAATGACGACCTATTCCTACAGTAAGATTCGAATTAGGGCATGTCGGATAAAAGTTCATTCTAATCATATTCGCATCGATGAGTGCATTAATCTTTGGATCTTCCGGTTTCATCCCGAGATTTCTCATCAAAACTACAAGTACTCGAGTGCCACATCTCTAGAGATAAAATAATAATGATTTCATTTGATTCGATTTAAAAATAATAATTGTTAACGAGTTATATTATAGTTTCTCAAAATACGAATTGAATATCAAAGATGATCAAATAGACCTGAACCAAATCTTATTGATTTGGATTATTTTGACTTACCGAATTTAATTAAACAAATAATTATTTTTACTAATTTAAAATTTAATCGGATCAAAATCGAATTAAATACTATTCGAGTTTATTGGATATAAAACATGCTATGTCTCACCTGATTTCAGTAGGCCAATTCTGAAGTGCTTCGGCATCATTAACGTAGTGCAAACTGATGCAATCTTTCCATTCCAAAGCTTTCTCTTTCTCAGGCACGAAGCTCGTCCCATACTTCACCAACCTTGTCGGACTAACTTCCGATCAATAGACGGCCTTCCGTTCCCTCGGCAGGTCGAAGAACTTATGTGCAGTGTCTTCAAGCGATTCCAGCAGCTCAATGGGAACGCCATGGCTGATAACTTGGAAGAAACCGAGTCTCGGCAGCTCTAACGATTTCAATGGGGATTTCGTCATGTTCGGGTCCATCTAATCTCGAGATATCAATCGGTGGTTGCGTGTAAGCCACCGGTACCATCGATAAGCCGGAATCCACCATCCCTTTGAACCCTTTTCCGTCACGGACGACGAAATTGTACAGCGAATTGCTGTCGTCGAAGCTTATAGCCATTGGCGAATGGTAGGATACAAAAGGTTAGTTTATTTGAATAGCGATGGCAGATCTATTGCTGCAAAAACTTCTTGTATTAATATTTTTATATTTTATAATTAATTCAAATAATTTTTATATATTAAATAGAGATTTGAGTTCAAAAATCAAAGAGAAAATATTTTGTTTAAAATTCTATAAAAAAATTTGAGTTTTTGGACAGCTGCAAAATCATATTTAAGTGCACTTGGAATTAATTAATAATATACCATGCATCTACTTGGACATAAGAAATAAATTGAATGAAAGTGGAGGAAATAAGATAAGAAAACATAAATTATTAAATACATTAAATATTTTTGTACCTACTACGATATGGGTGAAAAACATATTTTATGCAAAAATAATTGTATAGGAGTTGCTTGTAATATTTTAAAAGTTTGTGGGCCATTAAAAATATGCAATTTCTTGATTAAACATTTTCTTTTTAAAAAATATAAATTAAAAAATGACATCAATTTTAACATCAATTAACAAAGATGTGAGTTTAAGATGGAATTGTAAAGATTTAAAATTTGTAGTATCGATATCATGAGATACGATATCAATACTGAATTGGTGCTGATACTCATTTTTGAGGTGTTGGAAATAATTCAAGATTTGAAAATTTTAAGTATCAATATCTTATGTAAAATATCGATATATTGTAGTTTTGTAAAATATCGATATATTATAGTTCAACTGTCTAACGATCACATACTAATTATCTATAGACATAATGTCAAAATTAGTCCATCAATTTTTATCAAAATGGTTATTTCGGTATTTATTATTTTTAGAGAATTTTGACTCTCAATGTTTTATTTTGAGTCAAAAAAGCTCTTCTAAGATAATTACAAAGTAGTATTTGTTCATAATTCTTTTACTATTAACAACATACACAAATCACGTAGACATAATTGCTCGAATCTGAGACTTCTAGAAGAAACAACATTTTTTATCATTGAAATCGTTTTGACGAGTCGTAAATTTTTCATATTTTAAATCAATTTCTAATATCATACCTTGATATTTTTTATATTTTAAAATTCTAATGATGGATGATTTTTCAAGTGATACCAAACACTACATGTAAGATTATCCGTCAAAATGGTCGGAATAATGCATATGAGGAATATTATTTCCCAAAATAATGTCATTTGCTTATTTTTTTCCCCCAAATGGGGTGAAAGCTAAAGTGAACCCTGAATTCATTGGATCTCTCGACATCTTCAAGACAATTTTTCCCATGCAACCACCCTTTGGAAATCCCAGCGTCTTTAGGCTTAATGGCATGCAACCACCTTTGGAAGTATCGACGTCCTTAGGCTTAATGGGGGTTGAATTTCTCGGCGTCTTCAGCTCTGCATGGAATATTTCTCTGCTTTCCAAATATTCGAAATATTTTTTCTTCTGTTCGAATTTTTTTATCTCCTTTTTCCCCTACTCTCTCTCTCGGCCGTGCAAGTTTTCTTCCTTTATTTTCTAACTCTACCCTTCTTATCCCCCGAACTCCCAACACCCCATATTTATAAACCCTATATCAATTTCAATTATTGGTGCACAATAATTCAAACATTATTTCCCCTATTATTGGCACTGACACCAACGCATGCATTATTTCTCGGTTGCTGCATGCGCTCTGCACACAGGCAGAGATTCCCACACATGCAGAAGTAGCTCCCACGCAGCATAGATTCCTCACATTCCTGCCCCCCACAAAAAATGCACAGCTGAAGACGCCGAGAAATCCACAGGATTTAGTGTTTCCATTAAGCCTGAAGACGCTTCGAAATCAAATGGAATTAGAGTTCCATTAAACCTAAAG